TTTCAGGTTCATTTCTCTTTCGAAGTAAGGAACATTACGTCTTCTCATCTCTTCTTCCCTCCATGAATCACAAATTATACCAAAAACTGTCCCACATCTCCACGATAAGATAAGCTCTTCCAAAAAGTGAACGCAAAATTAGCTGTGAATTAAAGAAAGAACAAATAATTTAGCTCTGAATCTATTAAAGTCAATGACCCAAGAACAACCATTACAACCAACAGAGCAACAGCCAAACTACCCAACAAACATCAACCCCCAATGAGCCAAATCAAGGGAAGATTTTCCTTTGTTATACCAATGCAAACTTGAGGGAAGGGCCAGAGGGAGGTTCAAATCGCTTCCCACTACTCTACTGCAGAAGGCTTCAGAAGTACTGGTGTACTACTAGTGGTGGATTCAAAATTTACCTCGCTTTTGGGCTTCACCATAAGGACAAGTCTATGTCTATCTCAATTCCTAGGCTGGAAAATTCTGATAAACCTTGGCACCCGTTCCACAGTAGCATATTTTTGAGTCCTTGATCTTTGTTACCGTAATCACAATTATTATTGATGTTTTAGCTAGAGCAACGACATCCCCACACACCCCTTATTTGATATCCACTCACCCTCATCACTTTAATTTTAATCACATTCTCAGCCAAGCTAATCAGCTTAATTTTTGTTGTATCCGGAGCTAATTTAAGGTTCGTAAAAATGTAAATGAATATAAAGTAGAACCGTATAATAATATTATTATTTCTCTTTAGCTAAATAGTTCAATTTGATTGTGATCCAGTACTTGGATCTTCTGTGAAGAGCTTGCTTGCTTTCTAGGTTGGTTAATTCATTTTCTTCCCCTAAAGCTAAAAAGATTGCAGATTTCTTTTTCTTTGTTGATTTTTTTATAGGATTAGGTCAGGGTAATGTGGTATTAGCACAGAAAACACAGCACTGACTCAAGATCCAAAAACCATCCTATGCTGTGCCGCAGTCCACGAACGGCGTAATGTACTTGTCGCAAATCACGTGCCGTTAACGGTATGCTTGTGGGGTCTTTTGGTTCACAGAAATTGAGAAAATGATTCTTCTTCAGTCCTTTGTCTAGCAACAAAAGCTACCCCCTGAGTTAATGGGCACAAACCTTGCCTCCACCAAAAATGCCACATTTAAGTGATTTGTTTCAAAAAATCCAGGCGGGTGTGTTGTGCAACCGCTTAATCCGGTGGTGGTTTAGTTCCCTCCGGATTTTCCCTGGGCCTCCTTAGGTCCGCCCCCTCCCCCTTAGTGTAGAATAGATTAGGTTATATAACAGTTATCGTGTCCGAGAAAAAAAAAAAAAAGAGTTAATGGGCACCAACTGCGATCTCAATAGGTTTAAAATTTCCAAGAGAGCAAATCCAAGAATTTCTCCTATTCTAATTTGTATATTCATCAAAATTCAAGGGGGTCATTATTGCTAGTACCATGCTTTGAATATAGGGATAATTTCACAAACCTCTCCTAAGGTTTATAACAATTTCAGGTAGTACTCTCCAAGTTTAAAAAATTACACATATCCCCTCATTGTCTAAAATGACAAAAATAACCTTCATCCAATGTTGAATTTAAAGTCTCCATGAAGAGAACTAATGTATTGTAAATTAAATTTAGTAAATCGTTTGAAAAAAGTAAAAAATGAAAAAAGAAGAACAAGAGTGATAAATTTCTATCTCGTCATAGACACCCACAAAATCTAAACCCAATCTTACTCCATATAGTAGTGATTTTAGAGTAAATAAAAACGTTAGTTTCCTCCACATATAGATTCTTATTGAATTAGTTTTGTTGGGCAAGTAAGTATTAACATTTTTTTAGTGGACAGGAACAAATTTACTAAAGAACTTTATAAAAATATGTGAGTAATGTTTTGAATTTAACGTTACTGAGGAGTTTTGTTTTTTTGAAGGATAATCATCTAAGGGCATTTTAGGATTTTTAATGGGGATTTTTTGCTTACATCAGCAAAGTGAGCTTCAAAGTATTTTCTAAGGGAGTTTTTTGTAATTATTTAAACCTAAGGGGTGCTATTTGCAATTACCATAAATCTCAAGGGAGGTTTGTGAAATTATCCCTTGAATACAATGGTCAAAATGCCTTTTATGTGTGTGTATATATATATATATATATATATATATATATATATATATATATATATATCTCTTTGGCTGTTAAGAGTAACTCAATTCTTCATTGACCCCAAATTGAAACCGAAGGTCTTGGATGGGTTATCCCTAGCTGCCGAATCTCTTAACAAATTTTTCTACATTATTCCCCCATCGAGTTCTCTTGTATTGTACAAATATTTTTGTCTTTCTAGTGCTGACGTTTTCCATTTTGCATGCAGGCAATTGCAGTGGAGAAAACTCGTGTCGGTCGCAGCAGTGTTGACAGACGACATAAAAGAATTGAGTAAAGGCTTCAAAGGAGGCAATTTTTTGTCGGAATCTAATGTCTTAGCCATGATTTGACATCACATATTCACCGACAGGAGAAAGTTCCAGTGAATTACCACATTTGTCATCAATCTGATGCATTAAAAGAATTAAAATATGACATACATACAGATTATTAGTATGTACAGTACACCTGTATAGAAAAAAATTAATTCGTATAAATAACTTTTTGCATGCATTATTTGTCAATACTAGTTGTATTTATTCTACTCATATAAATTATAATACTAAATCATCCCAGGTGTTCAATTAAGTTTTGTCATAATTTACATCTATCATAGGGGAAAAAAAAAAGATTTATAATATGCGCTGATTGAAATAGGACCAGCCCTAGTTGGGCCGCACTATAAATGAATGTGACTTGGGAAAATAAATATTTTAGTGAACAGTTTACTTGTCAGAATTGGATTCATTTGTCTTCATCAGATATCTACACTTACGTAAAGGTCTTGATGATGCCCAAGTTAAACGGATGAAAACACACAAAATATACTTCCTCTGCCCTGCCCATAAAGATTAGTTCATCACTCACCTCAAGTGAAATACCATTTTGCTTGTGATATATTTCTCCATCTTCAATTGCATTAAGAGTAGTTTATGGGGTGATCTTAAATTTTTTTTTTTCCTAAAATAATGATGCTGATTCTCATGCTTCATGAAGATTCTCAAGAATACTCCAATATGGGTTCTTTTTTATGAATGTTTTTAGCAAATTAGGTGTGACACTCACGTTTTCTCTTCACTAAATTAGTATATTCTCTTGCTAGTTTCCAGGGGGTGGGTGTAGGGGAGAAGAATCTTTTGCAGCTGATAGCAAGGAAAAAAAAAGGTTTAAACAAAATAATTGTGAACTTAAGAAAAATGTTTAGCCTAATTAGACCCCGGATTAACCAGAAAAAAATATAGAAAGGGATGGTTTCCTCTTGTATCTCGAGTAAAGATTATCTGTTTTAAGTTTCATTGAATGCATCTTTTTGGCCATCTTCAACGGTATTGCACGCGTAAAGATTTTCTGTTAGCACGTTATAAAGTTTACCCAAACCTTGAAATGTCACACAAGCTTATTAGCAATAATTGATACTTTAGTTAAACAACCTCAATAATTATTAGGCATGGTAAAACAATACCATTTTTACCTGAAGTAGGACCCCATCCATCCCATGATTAAACTACCTTTTTCCCCTGTAAGGAACATGATTAAACAGCTACCACAGCTGTAATTGATTTTTCACCAATCAAATAAATATGTACATAGCCCATTATTACCACCCACAACATTAATTCAAGGATTTAGCCCAAGAGAGAGAGAGAGAAATCAATACAAGTACAACGGGCCAATTATTCATGATCTCATAGGACCACTTACGGTTGATGGCGAGCAGCTCAATCAAACACTCGGACTCAGGTTGACCGAGTTCGAGTTACTCGACAAAGAAAACAAGTTGAGTTCGAGTATTGTTTTATGCTATTCGAGTGTTCGTCGAGTAGCTCGAGTATTTATTCTTATTTATGTAATATATTAATTATAATTATGAAATGACCAATAAGGGTATATAATTTAGATAAATTACATGATATCTTGTATGTTTTATAAAATTCTTAAACGGTAAAAAGGTAATATTGTAATTATATAAGAATTACTTTCAAGCTCGGACGAGTTTTGATGAAGCATTCGAACTCGTTAAAACTCATTACTTTTATCGAGGTTTAAAATTGTTTTGGTAGCTATCTACTTTAGAAGTAGTTGATTGATAACAATGTATTTTGTTGCTCAAGTTTGCTTGGAACCATTTGTAAAAGTGTATATTAGACTAATTTGGTACCTGATTCTATGAAGAATGATCCATGTGCCTAAAGGTAAAACATCAATAACGGTCATTGTCTTCATATGTTAGAGTAGCTTGGGGGTTGGTGCTTGACTAAATGTAACTAACGAATTAAAGCAAAGTCCTTAAAGAAAATAAGGGCCTTTACTATTATGACCTAATTCTCGGAGAAACTGTTGGGAAAACTTTAGCGGCTGTAGCTTGGACCTCTTCAAAGAAGGTGCCAAATTCTCTTCATCTACTCGTACTGTCATACGCTGTACTTCAATATGGAACTACCACCTCCCTTACTCTTATGTAAGTTGCAGATAAAAAGCTAAAACAACACTACCACCACCCAAATTAGCCAAAAGATGACAAACAATTGATTCTGACGCTAAAATTCTTCTCTCTCTCTCTTCTCAAATCTTTTGCTATTGACCATGGAGCATAATAATGCATGTAGGACTTGTTCACTACTAGTAAACAACTGCATTTTGAATTAATCAAAAAAAAAAAAAAACAAAGAAAGAAGCCCGGAAAAAAGACCAAATTAGTAAACTCGAAAAACCAAAAATCTTATTCATCTGTTCCAATCCGAAGCTTTGTACTTTTGAGATGCATATGTATGCATGTGAGATGAGTAACTTTGAGGGAGTGTCCTTTGTCGGTGCCTCTCCTGCATCGGTTGCAGGAGTCACACAGATCCTTTGACACAAAAGTAAGAGAATAAATACCTTCAAGATCTGCTACTAATCCTAAATAACCTAATCATTCATCCCCCAACATTATCTCACTACATTTACTTTTTCACTTTTTCAGTAACACTTGCACTTGATTTACTCACATTCTTACATCAAACATGTGGCAGTACAGTATAAACATGTACCTAATCTAAGCAAAATGCCTAAAGAACAGAGGAAAAAAGGTGAAGAGGGATGTTACTATTGTGGTCCACTTTTTTCTTTTTCCTTTTTTGTTTACTCTCCTGAGTTCTCTGACTCCTCTCCTTCGCCCCTTCTTTTATGTTAGTGAGTGGAATCCCAATGTCTTCATGATTTTCATCATACCAATTGCCATTTCTTGAAATCAAAGCCTCAATCAATCCATTACTTAACCAAAGGGTCCCCAGTGTACTCATTACTGCTGTCTACCTGAGAGAGGAAAGTGATAAGAGTTGTACAAAAGAAGCAAGAATATGGATGTGGGGAGAAGAAAAGGGGGTGGTGGAGCTACATCATCAAGAATTGGTGTTGTGGCAGGGTCTGTTTGGGAGAGCAGAATGAAGCTTGATGAAGTCAAAGGTGGCATCAAAGTTTTTAATGGTGAGAAAAATGGTAGTAATGATTCAGAAGAAAATGATGAAAAGGATGGTGGGACTAGTAATAGATTAGCTATTGTTCCAGCTCAAGTGGATAAAAAAATGAACTTGAGGCCAAAAACGAGTCCAGTGGGGGCTAGTGGGAAGAGGAAAACTTGGAAATCTGACAGTTTGGAGAAGAGCCCAATTCAGATTGCTAGGCAAAGATCTGAAACAAACAAGAATCTTGATGAACAGTTTAGAGAATTGAGTATGTCTGCTGATGGAATTAAAAGGAGCCCAGCTCAGAGCAAGAAGTCAAAATCTGAGGCAATTAAGGATTTGGGTGCTTCGGTTGATGGAATTGAGAAAAGCCCAATTCAGAGTATGAAGATAAGATCTGCTTCTCAAAAGTTTTCTAGTGAATCCTCTGATGGAAATGACAAGAATCCAACTCAATTGAGGAAATTGAAATCAGAGACCATTAAGGCCTTGAACACTGAAAATGCAAGTGAGAAGACTTCTGAATTGAGGAAAGTAAAATCAGATTCAATTAAGGCTGTTGAGGACTCTTCTAATGGGAATGTTAATAATTCCCTCCAGCTGGTGAAAGCAAAAACTGTATCAAGCAAGGATTTTGATGATGATAATGGCAAGAGTTCTAAAGTGCAGTCTGAGAAAGAAAAGGCAGTTGTTGATGAGTCAAATAAGAGTCCTAAAGAAGACAACATAGTTAGAATGGAGAAAACAAGGTTTGATGAAGATTGTAAGGAAGTTGATGTTTGTGAAGAGAAGGTGATTACAAGCAATATTAGCAGCAATGCGGGACAGCAGCAGGTCAAATCTCCACCAATAGTAGAAGACACTGACGATTTTGACGATGCTGATGGTGATGAAGAAGATTGGGATGCGGAGTTGGAGGAAGAGGGTGATCAGGAAATTGAAGTTGAGATTGAAAAGACGAGTCTTGTTGTGAAGGAGATCAGTGTTGCTGAGCAGAAGCCAAAGAAGGTTGTGGTAGAAGAGAAGAAATTTCGTCAGAGCAATGAAAGGCCGATGTCAATTCCATCACTGGTGAAGAAACAGTCTCCTCCTGTTGTCAGCCATGCCAGAGTTCATCCAAGTCCAACAAAGAAAAGACCAAGTAAGTGCATATTGTTCAATTGCACACCATTGATCATGATCAGAAATGTGACATTCTTACCACAAAAAATGCACTGAAATTTCTGCTGCTGCTGTTGTTGTTCAAGTTCCAGATGAATTTCAGGGAAGTCCTAGAACTCATAGCAAATTACAGAGCTTTGGTAAGATTTATTTTCTGTGCTGAATTCAATTATATTTATTAGAGACTACTAGATGGCAATTTGCATTTCTTGCTGGAGTATGTTTTGCAGTTGACTTGGTGATGTGGAGAGATGCATCAAAATCAGCATTTGTCTTTGGCATTGGAACATTTATCATTATTTCATCTTCATACGCTAAGGATCTCAACATCAGGTAATTAATTACTTATCTTGCTCTTGAAGAGTGAAAAGACATTTTAACTCTGTTTTGTTAATAATCTGTTTTAAATAAAGAGCACTTGACTGAATTTTCTTGAATCATGGCAACGACAGTGCAATATCTGTGTTATCCTATCTGGGATTGATCTATCTTGCAGCAATTTTCCTCTTCAGATCACTCATTTCCAGGTAATTTTTTTCTTTATTTCAATAGATAAAAGTGATTACAACTGATGGCTCTTCTCAAAAGGCTTTATACCATTTAATAGGGGAGCTGTTGATTTAGATGATTCAAGCATGGACTATGTTGTTGGGGAAGAGGAAGCAGTTTGGTTGGTGAAATTGATTCTTCCCTGTGTAAATGAGTTTCTGTTGAAAATCAAAGCTCTCTTCTCTGGAGATCCTGCTACTACAATGAAGGTAAAATTAATGGGGTTGGGGGATAAAAAAACTCCTCCAGCTCATATGATCTCTCCATTTTTTTTTTCTTGAATTTTGATGATATCAATTTTTTGGGACAATTTCAGTTTGATGTTTGATGGGAATTTATGAGTAGTAGTTGACAATTTGTAAATCTATTCTGACAGATGGCAGTGCTACTGTTTGTTTTGGCACGGTGTGGCAGCTCCATAACCATATGGAAAATGGTCAAATTGGGTGAGTTTTTCCATAACGCCAATGCTTATCTTTCTAGCATGGCATGGCTGAAGCAATTGCACCGATTTCTTTTGTTTTTTTTTTTGAATTGTTTGAAAGCATATAAGATGCATCCTCTTTCCTCCTCATTTCATATTAATTACCATTTGCTATAGTATTCGTCAAAAGATTCTCATGTCTAAAGACAAAATTCACACACATTCTTTTATTTTATACCAAAGAAAAACTCTGAAAAAAAAAAACACCAGTACGAAAGAAAGATTTGATACACGCGAAATAAAAAAATAATTAAAAATTTGTGTATAAAATTAATAAAAAATTACAATCCAAACACCTCAACAAGTATAAGTTGAAGTAATTTTCTGTACTTTGACAGACTTTATAGATTTCCTTTTCTGATCATTCCTTGTGGGGAAATGGGTTTTACTTTCTTCTGGTGGCTGACGCTTGTTTTCTGTCACAGGCTTTTTCGGAGTTTTCACAGTGCCAAAAGTCTGCTCATCCTATTCCACTCAATTAACTGCTTACGGTAAAAAGCCAAAAAAAAAAAACCCCATAATAAATCTTTTGCTCTCTCAAATCTGAATTTGTTTTCTTCATCTGCACATCACAATTGCATAAAAGTTAGTAGTTCAATTCATTCATGTTACATACGTCTCTGGAGTCTTGATTGTTTGTACCGTTATAGCAGTGCCTACCCACAAGAACCTGTCTACATCTCATCTGCAAAGACCAGACAGGGTCACCCCACCAAACTACCAGCCTCCTTCTATTTATTATGCAGTATTTTTCTGGGGGGAGCTTTATAAGTATAGCATGTTGAATTGTTGATCCAACTTTCTTTAGGATTAGGTGATTAGTTGCTGAAACTGAAAGAAACTAATGTTTGGAAGATGGATCCCACAAAATAAAAGTAGTACTCCATTAGGATATAAGCATATGGTTGCATGAGGTCCGATTTCAGTTCCCATCAAGTTATCATTTTATTACACATACATAAAAGAAAGAAAATCCTACCATAGCTATGTATTGTACCCCAAATTCAAGAATTTGCTGACACGAATTGCATATATGTTCATGAAGGTGTATTTTGGATTCGACGATTTCGGGACGCTTGGGAATCATGTTCTCATAAGAAAGCCGTGGCATTTGCTATCTTCACACTGGTGTGGAATTTGTCTTCAATTGTTGCCCGAATTTGGGCAGGTAAAATAGTTCCTGACTTTACTAGTTCCCCTTTTGATCCTAAATTTGGTGAAAAAGAAAGCCTAAAAGAAACCAGGAACAAGTAGTTTCTTTCAGCCTAACATATTTTTGAAAAAAAAAATATATATATATTGTTAAAATTGTGAAAAGGATAGATTAATTACTAGAAAAGATGATGTCTAAACATTCAATTTTACAAAAAAAAATTTACAAAAAAAAAAAGGGAAGTGACATTTAGACTCGCAAATTAGTCTCTTTTTTTTTTTTTTTGTCAAAAGTCATATTTGTATTCATAACTTGACATTGCAAGGTTTGATACATCACATGGGAAAGCTCTCTTCCCATTCAACATTCCTAATTAGCTTGACAGCAAACTTTGCTAATCTATGTGCACATTTGTTCCCTATTCTATGGACAAAAGAGAAAGTACATTTGTCAAACAAGCATCTCATGTTTGCAATGTCCTCTAGAATGATATCAACTCTAGCTTCTTTCCCGTTTTCCTTGTTAATCATGTCCACCACCTCCTTGCAATCAGACTGGAGCTCCACTTCTCTCCATTGAGCCTCTCGAGCCATCAGCATTCCCATTCGGATTGCTGCCGCTTCCTCCACTAGGGGCTCGCAAATTAGTCTCTTGACTCTTTGGAAGCATACTATTATTTAGTGAGTGGATTGAAGTGCAAGAAGCTAAAATGGAAGAACGTTTCTATTTTTACATATACAATTTAATCATTAAATTTAGGCTTCTAAATATGGCTAAATATTTCAAGCACGTAGCCTATTGTGAATTATATGCGAAAAAAAAATAAAAAGAAAAATGACAACCGATACAATTATTGACTTTTTTTTTTTTTTTTGCCAGTGTTCATGTTATTTGTGGCGTATAGATATTACCAGCCATCCTTCATTGGAGAGGGATGGGCTACAGCTGAGGTGCAAACAAGAGCTGAAGATTCTTCTTCCACTTCAGGACAAAGTGGAGGCCACGTCCAGCGACAACGGCCGAGGCCCATTGTAACGGAAACAGGGAAACAAAAGAGGACCTTTTAAGCATATGCAGGCCCAATTGCCCATTACACTTTGTTTATTATAGTTTGATACCACAAGAAATAAAAAAAGTATAGATGAAAACGAAAAAAAAAAGTTTTAGTCTTGTGTGTCCTTAATTTTCTGATGTTTTAGGAAATAAGTTTAGATATGTAAAAATAAAGTATATATTAAAGAAGAAATGAAAAAAAGAAGCTTTTTTCTAGACTCGTGTGTGCCTTACTTTATTTATTTAGAAAATAAGTTTACCAATACATAGGTGATCAATTTTTATTTGGAATAAGAGATGAATTGGGTGTTTTAGGATGAGGGAGTGTATGCAGGAGGGTTCGAACGTTTGAACCCTCCCACTTACATTAAAAAAAAAAAAAAGAGATCAAATTTTTATTAATAATTACCGTGCAAATGAAAATAGTTGTTCAATGTCGAATAGAGCCAAAATAATAATAGAAAAAAAAAGAATATAGCCAAAAGAATATATCCGTTTCGTGACGTACATACTTAAGAAAGTAAAACTTTTCCTATCAATGCCAATCCATGTGAGCCCAAAGAATCACCATTTTACTAAATATGGAGATTAATTTATGTTCATAAGAGATTTAAAATGACAAAAGCAATTCATAAATAAAGTATATGTCAAAAAAGTTTAATAATGAAAAGGCAAGTTTTCATGAGAAAAAAATGTTGTCTCGCTATTTAAATAGCGTCAATGTGAGTAAAAGAAACTTAGAAACACCTTGATAAAAAATGACATCTTACACGATCAACTGTTTTTCACTTTATTGTATCTCTAATAATTGTCGCACAATTGATGCTTGTGCAAATTAAAAGAAAGTCTATTTTAGTTGGAAAATAAATTGGTATACAAATATGAAATATAAAAAGGGGAAACACAGTAGTTATTGGTGTTGAAATTAAACAGTAATTAGTGTAAGATTGAGGGATAATGTATGAGATAATTCGTGATTCTAAATTTATATGTCCATTACTCTTTCTAACTTCAAAGTTTAGAATCTATAAAATTTGGATAAAGGAGATTTTTTTATAAATACAAACAATGACATTTTTTTAGCGCCAAATTTTGGTCCATACTCCTCACGTATATATAGTGGAAGATATCAAACAATATAATAGAAAGAAAATAAAAGATTGGAATAGTCTCTCCATTTATCCCCTTTCCCTTCTAAGCCAAGAACCTAGAACCGTGAAACAACGTCGTTTATGGGGCTTGAAAATTGTGAAAATGAATTTCCTTGCCACCTGTCAAAATCGGTTCATGGACTTGTCGAACCCGGTTTCATTCCCCCAAAAACCGTTCGGTCTGCCACAAAACAATAAATAGGAGATGATCAGGTTTCTAGAACTACAATAATAGTGCCCGAGAGTGAAGAGCCCTAATCCCCAAAACTATAACCCCACTCCCAATTTTCTGTTTTACGACAACAATCGATCAATCAACGATATGAGATTTTGATCAAGTTCCAGGCAAGGGTTTTATTACCTACTTCTAAGTTATTAATCAAAGTTTTAATGTGATATTATCAGCTAAAATTTGACCTCCATTTGCTCTCCCGGTTTGTTGCAGTTGTAATTGCTGATTGTATTGTTGTTAGTAGCATTTTGTTTGGCTGAATAGTTTTCTTCGTTATTCGTAATTATGCTGTTCTAGATGATAAAATTGTGGTCTAGTTGTGAATTGTGATTGCCATCTTTCGCTTTTAACTGTCTGAAGTATCTCAAGGCTTCTTCTGCTTTTTCTGACCATAACGTGTGGAGTATCTGTTGCTTGTAATTTCGACGTAAAATCCACTGCTGCACTCATTCTTTTCACTGCTTATGGTCTCTAATGAGAGATGGGTTCTGGGTGAAACACCTGAAAAGTTTGTGGGTTTTGATTTTTTGATTTGGCTGTTTTCCATTTATGTGTATGATGATCGTTCAATGTGTTGTTTACCGGTTCTTGGTTTTTGGCTATCGTGATGCTGGTTGACTAATTGGTCTCTTGAGTTCTTTTTTTTTTGATAATATAGACTGGCGTTGCAGTTTGAAACTGTAGGTTGTTGAAAATTTTGATTTTTTAAATTGACTTGAGGTATATGGATGCTTCCTTAATTTTGTGGAAAGAAAGGGAAAATGGTTAAGTGGGCAGCAGAGGTGGTGTTTTGGTAGCTCAATATCTATGACATTTAGGATTTTCTTTTTTAAGTTCTTCCAGCTTTGTTATCTGAACATGCAAATGAGGTAGCCGTAGAACCAGGAAATGCATGACCTTAAATTAGAAAAGCTAACTCTGTGCTGTCTCACCAATCAGTTAGTGACATGTCTTCTGCCGTTCACAGCTCCCCAGAACAAGAATGTCTACTATTTATGCACTACTTTGTCTATTCCGTTCACTTAAAACAGAATTTCCATATTTGAATGACTATACTTTGATGAAATTGGTTGTGGAAGAAATGGGCATTAGGTCTTGAGTTGAAATTTATGCTCAAGAACTTAGGCTGCAAAATTTAGAAACAGTGGCAAATGACGGAAGGAATGAATATTTAGAAAACTTAACTAATCAGAGAGGGAAAAAGATTGTGCAAAAGTTCATTGCATGAATGCACAGGGGCTGCAAAATTATTAATTAATTAAGATAGCAAAGGCAATTTTCTTTTATTGAATTTACGGTGGGTTGTTTTTAAATGGGTAGTCCCTTAATCAGCGAACAAATTTTCAAATATATGTTTCCTTTACAAGTTTCAGAAATTTGCCAAAGCATTGTTTGGCCTTGGAAGATTGGCAGCCATTTTCTGAGTTAGACTAGGCTACACTAACACTTTCTAATCTCATATAATGTCGGATGAACTTCGTTTTGTTTATTTTGAGAAACTGATTCTAGACTTTCTTTATTCTTTTTGTCATCTTTTTCCGATTTTATTGTCTTTTTGACTGCAAACTCTGTCCTCAATTGCATGATAAGCTTTAAAAACATTAAAAAGTGCATTGGCATACCAATGGCGAGGTGCTGGATCATGCTGTGGGTATGAACATTGTTCTCTATTTCCATTATCGTGTAATTTCGCCTTAATTTATTGTTGCTGGTTGATTGGTAGTGTTAATTCTTCTGTTTTGTTTTCTTTTTTCATCATAAAAGTGTTGGAAAAAATTTCTGGTCTAGTAAGAGATCTAAGATATATGTTGGCTTTTGTTTGCTCAGATGAGCTTAACAGCAGACTCACCTGTGCACTCTCCAAGCACAAGCGGCGAGGATTTTGCTGCATTTCTTGATGCAGAGTTGGATTCTGCCTCTGATGCATCACCTCATCCAGAAGAAGCAGAGGAGGAAGTAGTAGAAGAAGAAGAAGCAGAAAAAGAAAACAAAGGTGGTGACACCGACGACTATGACTTAGACTCTGAGAAGTGAGTATTCAGAAGATGTTTCTTTGTACTGCTTGCCGTGGTTTCTGTGCCTATTGTCTGGTTCAACTTTTGCTTGCTTTTTTTTTTTTAAGGATTAAAAGGCGCAAGGTTGAGATTCTTGAGAGCTCATTAGATGTAGAAGCTATGACGTCCCAGGAAGTTGAGATACAAACTTCAGGTAATGCCTATGATTGTACTCTTTCTGTTCATTTGCCGCTTATGATAGATACGCAACAATTAATACAGTTAATATTTGCATGCTAACCTCAATACGTAACAAGATGATCAGACAAGAGCTTAGTCTAAAAATCTTTCTAGGTTGATTGTTAGTTACAGTTTTTGTGATCGATGGATACCAATAACATCCTGAAAGAGACCTGAACTGAAGTCTAGAAAATAAGGATTTACTTCAAGGGTTTGAAAATGGGGTAAAGTACTTTTTTACACAAGGGAAGCCAGGTATAGGATATTTTATGATTTTGGAAGATGCAGCTGGATTTCTTAAATTTTCTTAGTTTGACAAAAAGGTACTTTGTTGATTTCCAACTGGAATTTAAGTAGCAATGCAAGATTGGTGGAAAGTTCACTATGAAATTCTGGTAACATGACGCTTTGTTTTCTAAAAGTCTGCTTTCTGCAGGAGCATCTTCAGATAAGGATGTTTGTTCACATCCTGGTGTGATTGGTGGGTTATGTATACGGTGTGGGCTGAAGATGGATGATGAGTCTGGTGTTGCATTCAGCTACATACACAAGGTTGCAATCGCTTGGAAATCTTGTTAGGATGTATTTTGTTGTTTTTATAATTTGGCTGCTCAGGATTACTTGCCTGTTTTCTAGATTTGGCTGTTTTTGAATCACTTATTGTTGTTTATATGCTTCTCCTGTTAAGTTCTTTGTAGCACATTCTAATCGTAAGCTCTTTCTTTCCAATTTGAAATCTGAAGTTTCCTTGGGGGTTTAAGGTTTAATATTAGTTTTCACTTATGCACAGAATGTTGGTGCATTTAAGGAGCAATTCCATCTTTTTCATCTCTTCCCGTAAGACTTTTATGAATGATGTTAACTGATTCTTGCCTTTGAACTCTTTTTTTGTCACAGAAAAATGTTGTTCTAACCTTAAATTTTCTGGGCTGCATTTTTTACAGCTATTTGTTGTATTGGTTTTTTCATATTACACATTGAGAAGTTTATTGGTTTATGTGGAGGTATTTAGGCAGGTAATTATGTAATTTATTTAACAGAATCTAAGGCTGGCTAATGACGAGATTGCTCGATTACGTGATAAAGACTTGAAGAACCTGCTTCGCAAGAAAAAACTTTACTTGGTTCTTGATTTAGATCACACACTGCTGAACTCAAGTCGGTTTTTAGACCTTACAGTAGATGAGGGATACTTGAAGGGCTCCAGAGATGATCTACCAGGTACAATGCTCTCTTTTTATATAGTTGCTGTTTAATTTTTATCATTCTTCTGCTGATTTCTGTTACAGTTGTTTTATGCGGATAGTTTTCTATTTTACATGACAACTCTGTTGTCTGGTCTTATATATTTGATTCATGCTATGATATGAAATTCTATGAGCAAAGGCTACAAATCCTTCCCCCCAGACCTTGTTTCCATTATCACAAAGAAATAAAAGTAAATTGTGACAAAAGCTTGTCACCATCTCAGAGAGAGAGAGAGAGAGAGA